TGTGGTTAGAATTTCTTTTAGTTTCTGGATTCACAAATTACGCACTTAGTTTTGATTCATTTAATTCTTTGAAAAGAAAATCGTGAGATTTTCATTTATACTAAATAGAATGAGCTCAAAAGTTAAATTACGAATGTAAACTTTATGTTTTTAATTTTATAACATATTTATACTCCATTAAATAACTTGTCTATTTACTATCTCATTTTTATTTTATTATTTCGACTTGTTTTAATAGGAATATATTCTTCTTTATTGACATAAAAATGTAACCATACCTCAAAAAAAAAAAATTTCATCGAGTGGGAATTTTTTTCCATTCCATTGTACTCCCTGCTCATTGTTCATCACAATTTCGCAATTTCAAATTAATTTCGGAAGTTGTATAATTAATTTTTCATATATATATATATACACACTCAAGAGCCAAAATATTATGGCCACCTCTTAATAACGAGTTGTCCCACCTTTAGCCCGCAACACAGCTGCAACCCGCCTTGGCATGGATGCCACAAGTCCTTGGTAGATGGCAGGAAACAAATTGTACCAGATGTTTAAGCAACGGTCATGCAAATCCGAGATATTGCGATTTAGTGGTCTTTGAATTCTGAGCTGCCGCTCCATGACATCCCAAATGTGTTCTATCGGATTGAGATCCGGTGAGTTAGCGACCAGGACATTAACTGGAATTCAGCATCATGTTCCTGGAACCACTCCAACACAATTTGAGCCCTGTGACACGGGGCGTTGTCCTGTTGGAAAATTCCATTTCCAGCTAGAAAAACAGAGGTCATGTAACTGGTAACTGATGCAACTGGTCCGCAATGATGTTCAGATACCCAGTAGCATTCATAGTCTGCTCTACCACAACCACGGGTCCCAGAAGCGCCCAAGAGAACGACCCCGAAAGCATAATACCCCCACCACCGGCCTGTGTATGACCTACTGTACATTGAGAGAAACTGTACATTGATCCTGACACGGTCATCGGCGTGATGAATGACACCATGATTCATCTGACCAGGCTACTCTCTCCAACTGATCCATGGACCAGTCGCGATGTTCCCGGGCTCAGCGCAGGCGTAGTTGGCGATGACGCTTGGTCAGCAAAGGCACATGAGTGGGACGTCTGCTGCGTAGCCCCATATCCAACAGTGTCCACTGAACAGTGTGCTCTGATACTATTCTACTTGACCCTGCATTGTATTGGGCTGTCAGCTGAGCCACTGTCTGGCTCCGGTTTTGCTTCACCAAGCGAAACAATCCCCGACGACCTCTTTCTTTGATAGCGTGTGAAAGTCCAACACCATGTCGTCTACTGCTGGCTTCACCGTCATTCATCCACTTTGCATAAGCACTAACAACTGTAGATCGCGAACAACCCACGAGTCATGCAGTTTCGGAAATACTTGTTCCGAGCCTTCGAGCCCTTACAATCTGCTCTCTATCAAAGTCGCTTAGATCCGCAGCCTTTCCTATCACACACAGAAGTAAGTGAAAGAATGATTCTTCAAACTCTCCAGCAACAGTTAANACATATTAGAGGTCATGTAAGGGTGCAACTGGTCTACAATGATGTTCAGATACCCAGTAGCATTCATAGTCTGCTCTACCACAACCGCGGCTCCCAGAGACGCCTAAGAGAACGTCCCTAAAAGCATAATATCCCCACCACCGGCCAGTGTATGACCTACTGTACATTGAGGGAGCAAGATCGCTTGGAAGACGGCGTATCCTGACACGGCCATCGGCGTGATGAATGACAAACCGTGATTCATCTGACCAGGCAACTCTCTCCCACTGATGCATGGACCAGTCGTGATGTTTAGCACGGACCAGTCGTGTTCGTCGCAGGCGTAGTTGGCGATGACGCTTAGTCAGCAAAGGCACACGAGTGGGACGTTTGCTGCGTAGCCCCATATCCAACAGTGTCCGCTGAACAGTGTGCTCTGATACTATTCTACTTGACCCTGTATTGTATTGGGTAATCAGCTGAGCCACTCTCTGGCTCCGAATTTGCTTTACCAAACGAGATAATCTCAGACGACCTTTTTCTTTGATAGCGTGTAGACGTCCAACACCATGTCGTCTACTGCTGGTTTCACCGTCATTCATCCACTTTGCATAAGAACTAACAACTGTAGAACGCGAACAACCCACGAGTCGTGCAGTTTCGGAAATACTTGTTCCGAGCCTTCGAACCATTACAATCTGCATATTCAAAAATTTACCATTAATTTATTTTGTAAATTTAAAAAAAATTATGATGAATAATTGTTTCACTTAGATCAAAATAACAGCAAATAAGTGCAAATTTGAAAAAATTATAGTTTGAAAGGGCGCCGTGTTTGGAGGATTTTACCTTTAACTCTAAAAAGGAAACCGTTGCTCATCCTGTTGTATTTCATAATGAAAATTATTCAAAAGCTAAACACAATATTTTTCACTTAATTTGAAATAAATTAAAACAAAATGAAGAAAAAAAAGTTAAGGGTTACGGTCTTAATTACAAATACATTATTTTAAATATATCATATTAATTTTGAGCCATACAGTTATTGAGCCATTCACAATAATCAATACAATTGAGCCATTCTCAACTATCAATTATTCTACATAGTAAACTTGTTATATTTTAACATTACGTTCGTCATCTTAAAATATGCATAATATTGTGTTATATATTGTATTATATATTGTATCATATAAAATTGTTGGTGCCAACGATTGAGTCACCTGCTCCGTAAACATCACATGTTTACATATTTCATGATGTTCACACATATTTAAATATGCTATGTTTATCAATGCATAGTGAAACACCAAACAACCCAAAATCGTCCGTTACCACATTAGCATTACTATTCTCGAAACCCATCAATAACACATTAAAATGACACTAACATAGTTAAAACCTTCCATTATTCGAGAACTAATTCCCAGTCCTTCCCTATTTCGTCATTCTCATCCTTTTCTCAACAAAGCCCACCATTAGTAATTCATTAGGGTAATCAACAGAAATTGGCATGTTCCGAGTTTCCTATTCTCCATAGTGTTGTTATTCAGAAGTTTCAGTAGTTGCTCCTGATGGGTTTGCCGGAACAATCGGTTTCCAGACATCCTTTATCATTAAGGTATCAGGTCTTTTATCTTCTGCTATTGTCGTCCAATCACTCCCCTTGTGACCTTATTAGATAGCTGGAACGATTCCATTGAACGTTATTCATTGCGAAATCTTTTCTTAAGATTTCATTCTTTGAAGTATAATTTGTAAGCATAATTAAAAAGCTATTGATGTACTAAATAATGCTAGTTATATCTTCAGATTTCTTTATTTTGCACATTTCAAACTATGTTCCATAAATATCATTGCTTTTACCAAATTTTTTTTTAAATATTTTCTCCTTTACACTTAGTTATAAATATGATGTGTCAATCCATACACTGTAAAAATTTCCAGATCAAAGTACGGTAAAGAATACCGGCACAGGGGGGGGGGGGNGGCACTCAGGGGGGGGGGGTACTTTTCACCGTAGGATTCATTTTTATAGTAAAATTTCGTGGTACAAAAAATCTGTAATCCATCAAAAAATCTGTAAAAATCTGTAATTTTCATAATAATGTTCTCTGTAAAATCACGGACTCACTCTAATTAAATAAATATTACTATAAAACGTACGATATAAAATTCCATAGTAAAAATAGATTTTACGGTGAAAGGAATTTTACGGATAATATACCAAGGGTGCCAGTACTTTTTCCCATAATTTGGTTTGTAATTTTTTACATTATAATGAAGTAATCAAAATGTAAGCAAAAATACATTTGAAATATAAACCAAATAATTCCATTTATGTGTCTTACATATTTCCTTAAGACACTTTTAAGATTACAAATAAATTAGTTTTTATAACTTATATATTTATAGTTTTACTCTACTCATTAATTTACTAGACTGACAAAATTACATTTATTTGAAATCATCTTTTCATTTATTTAACAAATGTTTAACTATTTATCATACGGTCGAAGGGCAATGGGCACTCTGATATTTATTGACAATGCATTCGATTATTATTGAAACCTCAAATTTTCCACTATAGAAATACTCATAGCATCACAATTACTAATAATAAAATGGAAATATTTCAGAAAAGCTTCATGTTTGAGTCACCTCATCTTATAGGTGTCGACCACAAAATTTCAATTTTAGAACAAAAATAGAGATACAATGAGGATTATAAAAACAGCAAGCAAAAAGTACTAGAGAAATAGGTATAAAAATTATTTTTCGACAGCCTTCTTCATTATCCAATGCATGTATAACATAAAATTACAACTTGCCAACTTACTAAGTTCGACGTTGCTTTACCACATCTGTTTTGTATCCACTAAGTTAGACACGAGGGGTAATTCGATGACTTACATTAATTACAAAGATTTATCACTAGTGGAAAAAACAAGTGTGGCGTGTTAATAAAGTTTTCACAGAAAACGTTCCCCTAATGCTTGTAGTTTTAGAAACATATTTCTTTTCAATCCTGAAAATAGCCAAGAAAATTTCGCAAAGCTATGTTGTGAAAAACTAAAATATTTTTAAAATAAGTTGTTGTTTTTTTTCGCTTATGTTGGCGATTTATGATCTGATTCGAAGCTTTTTAAATGGAAACAATTTCGAAATTACTTAACTTGATAAAACGTCTTTAGAACAGTTGTAGTAAATATCTGAACTAAAAGCCTTTTTTCTCTAGATTTTCAACAACAATAATTTAAAACGTGGTTAAAATCTATTCGGAAAAAAATAAGGTTAGGGGAAATGAAGGGAACCGGATTTCATATGATTCAAGAATCAGTTCACTAAGTTAAAAAGTTTCTGACACACAAAGGAACGGTTCAATTAGAATAAAAGTTTAGTAGCAAAACCTACCATTATATATAGTAATTTCATGTATAATAGAGTGTTTTTTTATCAGGTTATCTAAATATCGTTGTTGTTTCAGGAGATAATAGTAATCGTCCAACTCCTGGAGTAGGAAATAGTGAAGAAGCTCCAGCCAATTTCATGTACAGTAGCCCTAGGTGGACAGTATCCGGCAATGGATCTATGATAATATCTCAAGCACAAGAATCAGACGCCGGAGTTTACGTTTGTCAAGTAGAAAATGGCATTGGAACTGGATTAACTAAAAACATTGCCCTGAAAGTAAATGGTAAGCAAACAGTATTGCAACGGTACAATATTTATTGCAAATGAAATGCTCAGGTCAATAGTGTGATAATAGACGTTGTTTTTTCGAATGTGACATTTTTACAACAGAATGTTCCATAAGATTATTGACAGAATTGGAATTAAAAAGTCTACGAAATTTCCAATAGAGGGCAATTCCCACTAGTGCAAATTAAAAAAACGCTATTCAGAAGAATTTTAAATTGTGACTTATCAATATATTTCTGTAAGCTCTCTATTAGATAATCACGCAGTTGATTAGTGATATTGTAGAATTTAGCGAAAAAATTGAAATAAGACATTAAGAATAAATATATCGTATTTTTAATCACCTTTCAACTTGGAAAATTAAGTTTTCTGAAAATTAGACATGATATTAAACTCCGAAAATCGAGTATTTTCAAAATATCACCAGACGTGTTTTACTACTAAGCTCTTTAATTACTAATAAATTTACGAACTTGCTACAGATGCCCATATTCATGAGTTTCAAACATTTGTCATTAGTCTACATATTTTTGATAGTAAGAAAGAAATGCTATGATTGATATCTTTCTCCTTTGACATCTCAGACAGTGATTTATTACTAGGTCATAATTTATCTGGAATTCCTGGTAGAATGTCTAGGAAAAGACCTTAAGAATTAATTCCCCTCTTTCCATAAAAATAATTTGTGCATGAAACTGAATTGATATTAAAAATTTCTTCGAAATTTATAATATATAAATTAACTCTATTTCTACTTGAAACTCTTATTTTATATAGAGTATGATATTAAAAACAACTTTGAAATTAACAAATCAAATCGGTAAGAATATGAAAAGTAGACATAATCCATAATTTAAAAATGAAATGTTGGAAAAAAAGTATACAAAAGGTTTTTAAGAGCTCTATGTAAGAGAAGAGTAGTGAAATTAAAAGATAATTAATTATTTAAAGTTTTTAAATAAATGTAAGCATATTTTGTGTTTTCTAAAATATGTAGATCTAATTTTACCCAAAACTCGGGCAAAATCATATATTATTTGATTAAAATCTTTTTATTACTGCCACAATTTAGGGAGTAGAAAGTTTTAGACTCCAGACTTCATATTCAGGAAACGATTTATTTCCTTACATCCAGATTTAAAAGGCGATTTAAAATTCTGTCAGCATCTAAAACTTCCCCGCATCCATCCTCTTATCATAGAATTTTCAACATCTTCAGGCATCCTCTATTCATAAATTTATTTTTGTGGGTAAAATATAGAACCTCGTGTATATCATAAAGCTTTTTATCACTTGACCTCCATATTACCATTTTACCCCTAAAATCACATTAAGTCACTTGTAAAATAAATAAATATCCATAACTTATTCGTTTGAAAAAATTCAAAAAGAGCTGAACTACTATAATTAAAATATACATTGCATTAATGCATTTAAGAGATTAATATTTAAATATTGTTTTAAATAAAGCAAAAATGCAAAAATGACATTTGCTACTAATTTAGTACCTACTCTATAAAATTTTATGAGCTGAATCGTATTTCGTAAAAGTCCATAAAGAATTTCGAAAAATAAATACTAAAAACATATTTCCATAATTCTAAATTATAGGGATTTCACTATAACTAGTCGGCAAAATCTATTCATATATCAAGATAATAAAATATTTACTAATAATGATATCCATCATTTTTTTAAAGAAAAAAATTGAGAAAACTTTCAACTTTTTTATTTAAAAAAAGACGTAATAAATAACGGAAGAAACATTTTTTGCAGCATTTCAAAAAACTCAAGAGCATCAGAAAAATTCAACCAATATTTACTTATAAAATTTATTTAAAAATTTTTATATTTCTTGAAAATTATTTTTAAGAATCTTTTCGTAAAACTTTTTTTTCTTAAATGAAGCTTTGTTTTGTTTATTTTTGGAAAGTCAGTATTTAACTTATGAGAAGTTTTTTTGCTATCACTAAGATTTTTTTATTTATTTAAATAGAGTTAGAGATTGTATAATTTCTTATATATTTACAGATAAAACGTGGTTTTAAGTATTTCAGTTTCAAAAGAAGTAGGCAAGAAATGGAATTGATAATCATGTAAAAAATGCAACCGACGTTTGTTAATACTGTCAGAAATAGTTTTTTTTATCCTAGAAACTCAAACATTTTTTAACATTACTAAGCAATTTCCTTATGCAAATAAAATTTTCTTAATATTCATAATTGCAATCTGAACTTATTTAATGGTTTTTCTAACAAAGTTAAGCAAAATATTATATGTAAAGAATGTAAAAGATACTCTCGATGATATTTTTATTTTTCTGAAATTTCATAGCATGGAAAGGAAATACTAATCTATTTATTAATATGAAAATTATAATCTATATACCTCTTATTTGAAAATATCTCTTGTTTGTCGTTTTGTTGAGCAGTTCCTCACTTATGATTGCCTAAAAAAATAACTGAAAATTTAAATTTTCACTTTTATCTAAACTGTAATAAAACTTAATTTAAATTTTACAGGTATAAAACCTCTTTCGTTATTTTCTATTCATTATTATTATTTTCGTTTATTATTTTCGTTTATTCTGGTAGAATGCAGTTTTATAAAATTAGTTTGCGACTTTTAAAACTAATATTATCATCAATTAGATAAATCCTTAACATTTTATTGAATTGCTTTTCATATCATTAAATCTTAGGACTATTTTAGAATGCATCTTCTTAAAATGTTACTTTGAATAATTTTTTTTTATTTTTATATAATATTGCATCATATTAAAGATGGTGAAAAAATTTTAAAGAAAATTGTATGCGAAACAATTTATTAGAAATAACATTTTAAACACGAAACATCACTTTTCTATAACTTTTAAGGAAAGTCAATATAAATATTTTTTCGGCACTTGGATTGAAACAGTCCTTCAAAGAAGAAAAAATGGAAAATTGAAGATAGGAAACGAAAATCGAATTTCTTATCTTTAAACATTCATAAAAATATTTCCCATTTATGGATAACAAAAACGCCCCGTGTGGGGGATATTTTTCTAAAATTCGCGGAATGTAGGGAAAAATCATGAAAAAATACCGATTCTAGGGAAAAGAAATAAATGATGCATCAACAAAAAACGTCAAATATTGATGACTGCAACAAAAAAATCCTGCATCAAATAGGAAAAAATCTCCCAAAAGGGAGACATTAACATTTTATTCAGTTCTCTTCCGTGACACTTCACAGCCGAAGGGAAAATTGAAGGGAAAAAATTGATAAATATTTTTAAATTTGAAAACTGGAATAGTAGGATTCATAAATTGTTTAGATGCATCCTATTTAAACTAGTTGTTTTTCTTGAGAAGATATTTTTTGTTAGATAATAGATATGCAAATCTTCTACATCTATTAATAATACGATTATACTTTTCTTTACTACTGAAAATTTCAGATGATGTGTGGGACTAAAAATAGATTATTCGTTTTGTAGAATTAAATTATTTTTCTCATCAAACTAAGATTTTGTTACAGCTGTTTTATTGAAAAATGCTTTTTCTAGAAATTAAATTCTAAATTTAAATACGCGTGGGTAATCAATCTTATCTGGTAACTGAAATGAATACCTTTTTTAAAAAATAAATAAACATTGTTAAGCGTCATTAAAAATTATTAAGCACCATTTTATTTTTTAGCTCAAGTAAATTTTCAAAAATATTAAAAAATTTGAATTGGGAGACTTTCTAATTTAAATATCTTATATAATAAGTAATATGTAGAGATTTTAAAGAACACAAATTGTTAAGAGAGAGCTAGTAGTTTTTCTATTTTGTTTGCAATTTAATATGAATTCAACTTTTGAAAAATAATTTTTTCAAAATATCAGAATTTTAAGTTTATCTATATGATAAAATTATTTAGATCTATAAAGTTTGTCAATAAGAAGTAAAGACATTCTCTGTAAAATAAAAAAATAAAAAATATGCTGTTCATATTTTCTCTTTTTGTTCATTGCAAAATTTAAATTATTTTCTGAAAGTTGTCCAATTCAAAAGAAACTGAATTCAAAATTCAAAAGCAGATTTTAATGTTCTTACAGATATATTACCTTGACGATATCAGGAAATAAAAATACACAGCACAAACTATTACGTTTTTATTTTTAGTATCATTAATCTATGTACAGTTTCAATATTATTATGACATTATTACCCATACAGCTCCAACAAAAAATAGCAATTTATGTTTCGAAGCAATTTTTAGTTTTTTTTTCGAACAATTTTCGAAACAATTTTTAGTTTATCATTGTTATGGTATAATCTTGGAAATATAGCATTCTGAAACAACACAAAGCATTTTAAAAATGAAATATTGAAATATTTTACTTAAGTGGTAAATGTCGTTTTCTGAAAATCATTAATAACTTAAAATTTTCGTTACTGTGTAAAAAATTCCGTTATTTCGTCTAACAGAATGCGATAGCGCCTCTGATTTTTTAGACAAATTAGATTCAAATACAAACTAAGCAGAAAACCATTCATCATTGTGATACAAAAGTATCCATTTATCAACAAAATATGAGATAACGTTATTTCAGCCGAATCCAAATTCTGCCACTGTTTTTTCACCCAGTTTTCATTTCTTAAATTCTGATGTATAACTTTGCCTTTTTAATAATAGACTGAATATTTTACAATGCTCACGAGGCATTTAAAAAACGCAGATTAAAGTGCCAAATTCCTTCTAGTAGTTTAGTTTTTTTCTTCCTTGTCTCAATTTATTTATTTTGAGACGCAATGGCTCAGCGGCACTGAATTGTCGTTATGAAGAACTGGAGTTCGATACATTGTGACTGCTTGTAGGTCGGCCCAGTTTCAGGTCGACTGGTACCAGCTTACCGGGGACGTAAAGGAGGCCTGTGCACAGCGTTAAGCACATGGCCACATTCATACCATTGGTCGTAAAATTGTAGAGTATTAATCTCTATGATCCCCCTGTCCCACAATG